ATATCAGATATTGATACTGTACACTGTATTGTACAGTATTATCAGATGGTGGCACTGAAGTAAGATATGCAGAGCCTGCTACCTTCCTTTAATTTTTTGTCACCTATTTAAGGTAAGTAGTAGACTGGTAGACAACCATCCATGAAGGAACTACTGTCCTGTCATAGGTATGTGAAACCAAAACTTGTTAAACATTTTCTGTCTTTTGAGCATGTATGATAAGAGGTTCCTGTGATTTACCTGTGACCAGTTTCAAGAGCACTTGTACCTCCCACAGCCTAACTTAAGGCCAGACTTCTATGTTGTCTGCCTGGTTTTGCAAGCTCTTTGTGCTAGTAGCCTGCAGGTCTTCATAGCCTTCATAACACAGTTGATCCAACACTTTTAGAAGGAAGCTGTCCACCTTCCAGTAAACTTCTACCTTCATTTTGACAATATTTCTGATATCTGCTGCTTAAGTGTTGAAGAGAGTTTGACCACTGATGTTGACATAGTGTTTTATAATTGTATCCATGGGCCCTGATGTTAACATAGTATTTTCTAATTGTACCCATGGGCCCTAATGTTAACATAGTGTTTTCTAATTGTATCCATGGACCCTTGCCCTTCACAGAGTTTATTCCACACTTTCTTCCATGTCTTTTCACTCCACTAAATTGTTATAGCAGTGTGCAGGTTGATCAGGCCCTCAAATATCACCTTTCTATATATTGTACTGTGTTACCAGATATTTCTTTCTTCTCCATTCCACAGAGAACAATTCAAGTGCTTTGAAGCATTGAGATGTTTTATTGATTCTTTGTAGTCAGTATGCAGCCTCTTTACATTTTTCAGTTCTGCTATCTCTCTCTCTTGCCCTGAAACATGCTGTAACCTCAGAACAATACATTAGAACCCCAGTAGCATGTTCCAAGTTACTATATTTTGCACTTACAACATTGGTATTTTTGAACCAACTAATTACTTAAAAGCAATAATTCGCTCTTCTGGTGTTTATATTTATATTTTTATCAAGGGTTAATTAACCCTTTGAGGGTCGACAGGCCCTCTCCGAGACTTGTTCTCAGGGTCGCCCAAATTTCAAAAAAAAAAAAAAAAAAAAAATTTTCTTATGAAAAGATAGAGAATCTTTTCCCGATCATAATGACACCAAAAGTATGAAATTTGATGAAAAACTTACGGAATTATGCTCTCGCGAAGTTAGCAGTCTCGACGATGTTTACACATCGGCGATTTTGCCCACTTTGAGCCCTATTTTCGGCCAATTCCAGTGTACTAGTCGACAAAAATCATAACTATTTCTCTAGAACTCCATTTTTTCTATTGAATGAGTACAAGAAACCACCCATTTACTGATTTAAACTGTCCAATACAGTGGTCAGAATTTAGCAATTTTGCCAATTTCACACAAATTTCAAAAGATGCCAATTTCCAAATAGGTTCAGAATAAACAAGAGAGACATTCCTGGCACTAAAATAACATTTCCTCTTATATTCTTTGGCTTCACACTTTCAATTTTTATTCTTACAAAAAATAGAAGATTTACTGTTATGCAGAATGCTGCATTAGTGTAGAAATGGTATAAATAATATCAGCACACTTGTGAAAGAATTTTAGACTCACCAGTTGACGTGTATTGGACGCATGATTTGTTTACTTTTGAACTTTGGTAAAAATCGAACATTTCTGCTACTTTGAGCTCAATTTCAAGGTACTTTTCATTGTAAAACCAGTCAAAATCATCTCAATTCCTGTAATATGTCTTCCATTCTATAAAATGAGACCAAGAAAACTAGAATACAACAATAAATACCCTACGAAAATACAGTGCAAAGTAGCTGTTTTATTCCAAAAACACGGTCAAAGTTTTTTTTTTTCTCATTATGCACTGTTTGCTGCAGGATTTTTTTTATACTGTGCACACTGACTACATAGACCCATTCTTTCATATGTATGCCTACCAGCTTTCTCCCACTAGATTTGAGGGCGCTAGAATTTAGGCGTACTAGTACGTCAAAAACCCTGGGTCGTAAGCCGTACTAGTACGGTCGAAACTCCCAAAGGGTTAAAAATCTTTTTTTCTTTCTTTTTATCTATTTTTTATATGTTCATTTTATGCATGTATAAAGAGCACAGTTTTAGTTAGTCAAGGAGTGTAGACTTCGTATTTATGTTCTGGTCAGCGGCTGGTGGCTGGGGGATGACTAGTGGCCATGTCCTGGACAAGTTCAGTGGTGTGTGTACAACCTTGCCCATTTTGCATTGTTTCTTAGGGGAAAATAGATTCCAAGTACCAAACATTCAACTTAAGATGAATTTTTGGAATACTTTGATGTCATAGGTTGGGGATCTATTGTATTCAAGTTGTGAAAGTATAAGTGATTTGAAAAGTACCATCATTGGCATTGTTTTCAATGTTTTGAAAGTTCTCATAATTCTTCCTGTCATTTATCTGGCTGTTGCTGCCTTTGCCTTATTGTGTTTTCTAAATTGCAGATGTGCGAACATAATTATGCCTGTTTCTTATACTCTGTGATATGGTCTGCCTGTGTTCTGTATACAGTAGGTCTCTTATATTGTTCTGACATATAATGTTCCGTTTTTATGACATTGGCACTTTGAAACCAGTGAATGACTTACGAACACACACTCACTCTTATTCTATATGGAAGTTCTTCTGGCAATGGAGGGTGAAGGACACAGCAGCAGAAAATGGTACATGGTTTTTGGTAAACATTGCCATAGCACACTGTTCCCTCTTTTCTTTGCTGTTTTTTTTTTTTAACCACAGTGTTTCTTTACCACTTTAAACTGGTTAATATTGACACTCGTGAAAAGGAATAAGACAAAAACTGATTTGTGCATTAGAAATTCAATTAGCATATTTTGAATAAAACCCTGTACAGTACTTCATTTTCAAAAGAAAATGGACACCCAGTCAGACGATTGAATTTTTTGTTTTATTTTTCACATTATTTTACTTGATATAAAGCATACATTATTTAGCCAGTGTTTATCACTATTTGTAAGTGAAGAGGAGTGTGACTAAATGTATGATATTGGGTAAATATTCTTAGTAAAAAATGTTAAATGAAATTTCATGTGGAATATTATGACTAGGGAATGCACATGTGTATGTTCAGTTTACAGAGGTGTCTTTAATGGCAGGGATAATATTATGTAAGAACCCTCAAGGGAGTCCTTGATGCCAGTGAGAGGACTCATGCTGTATGACTCCTATGGATTTAGCACTCCCCACCAATGTAATCATACTAATATGTAAGGAACAATTACCAAGAACTCTTAGAAAATGAAATTCCACACTATTATAAATGTATCAGTATAGATAGAGAGACTCAATTTCAACACCGCTACTTCACACTGACCATTAAGAGGTAATCTACTATTCTAATAACATAGATTACCTCTTAAGAGTCTTTGGGTATAACAGCTCTCGAGTAAAGCCTTAGGTTCGGCTCTTGTCCATTCCTTGAAAAAATTGTGAAGGTTAAAGTTATGTCCTTACAAAGATAGGATGGCTAAAATTTATTGTTTAAACTATATACAGGTCCACATTCCTTTATCCAAAACCCTTGGGGCCAGTAGTGTTTCAAATTTCAGAATTTTTCGAATTTCAGAATGAAGGTGGGGTTGAGGACACCACCCAATAATCAAACATTAACAATGTAGGAAAAATGTATGAATACTCACACTAAGTGGGATAAATAAAGACTACAAATACTACTATGACTTATTTATAGAGTAATATATTGTTTTGTGGACGAGGGGCTTGGACTTCCAGCAGGCGTGCATGAGCGTGCTCGATAGGAGTGAATGGAGACGAATAGTATTTGGGACCTGACAATCTGTTGTAGTGTGAGCAGGGTAATATTTAGTGAAGGGATTCAGGGAAACCGGTTATTTTTATATAGCCAGACTCGAGTCCTGGAAATGGGAAGTAGAATGCCTGCACTCTAAAGGAGGGGTTTTGGGATATTAGCAGTTTGGAGGGATATGTTGTGTATCTTTATACGTATATGCTTCTAAACTGTTGTGTTCTGAGCACCACTGCAAAAACAGTGATTATGTGTGAGTGAGGCAAAAGTGTTGAATGATGAAAGTATTTTCTTTTTGGGGATTTTCTTTCTTTTTGGGTCACCCTGCCTCGGTGGGAGACGGCCGACTTGTTGAAGAAAAAAAAATATTGATAAATGAAATTATTTGCTTATTTGTATTTAACACCATTTCAGCAATTTCACCATCACTCAAGGAATGCACAACAGCTGCATCATTGTCAATGTTCAGCATTTCTTCAATGTCAGCTTCCTGTAACTCCATTAGCACACAGTCAAGATCTTCATTTTCTGCCCTATGCAGTGTTTTCCTATTTTTCATTAGTTTTTGGTCATCACTGTTACTATAATACTTCAGTAACTTGTCTTTCTGTTTCTTTAAATCATAAACAGTGGTAGTTCCAACACCATATTCTTCAGTAAGACGCTGCACTGACACACCACAATCAAGCTTCTGCAGTAACTGTACTTTCTGCGTCATTGATAACATTAGATGCTTCCTTTTCTTTTTCTCACTGTTGCCCATAGGGGTATCTGCAGCTCTTTTTGGCATTTTCTCAGTGAAATTAAACAATCACAAAATAAAAAGCAAAAGCAAAATATCAGCGAACAGCAGACACACGTGCGAATACTACAAGCACTGAGACACAACTGGTGGCATTGGAGTTATGTAGAGATGACTGACGCTCCACACTCCATGAAAAAACTTCGATTTTCGGAACTTTTCGAATTTCAGAATTTCGGATAAAGGGATGTGGACCTGTATGTTGTTAATGTAGCATGATAATTTTATAAATTATTTAAATATAGAGACAATCTTATCCATATACAAGTACTGTAAGGGGTTTGAACAATTTGGCAGTAAATGCTTTTCTACAGTATATTGTTATAATTAATGACTAAATAATAAGTAATTTTTGTTTCAGATTGTTGGTAGCAACTTGGAGAAACCAGTGGTATTGCAGGTGGTGCACATGCACAGGCAATACTTCCACATGGGTGTGTTTCAGCTCAACACATTAAACCTCACTGGAACAACAAAAAATATTTTCTGGACCCAGCCCTGGGAGCCACTCTTCAGTAAGTGTTGCTTCCAGGCAGCACAGCCTGTGCTTGAGGGCTATAATCCTAGGGTCTTTGAACTTCTCAAAGGGCTGCATGCACAGTGTTAATGCTATTATGTATGAGTTTTGACTGAATGTAAAATATACTGTACTGTATCTAAATATTGTATAATTTGTGTATTTTTTTATCCTATTTAGCATCTGCTACTTCAGCCTTATAAATGAAAATAATAATACTATTGGCATGTACTGTACTTCCATTGACATTAGCACCTATGACCACATTTATAGTAGTAGTAGAACCATTATTATTCTTTTAATAAAATGGAAGTACTAAACCCACTAGGGTCAGTAGAAGAAGCAACTGTTGCAATCTTAAACCTTAAAAGCTGGTGTATCATATCTAGAGGAAAATTTAAACTGTTATCAGATCATGATTAAATAACCATTTGTATTGCTACCTAGCACTGTATGACCCTTATGGGTTTAGTGCTTAGTTATGATTATAATAATTTATTGCTACCTATGTGATGGGTATGGGGTGCACAATGCACCATCGATAGGATGGGTATGGGGTGCACAATGCACTACCATGCAGATGGGTATGGGATGTACAATACACTACCATCCATAGGATGAGTATGAGGTGCACAATGCACCATCCAGAGAATGGGTATGGGTGCACAGTGCACTACCATTAAGAGGATGGGTATGGGGTGCAAAATGCACTACCATCCAGAGGATGGGTATGGGGTGCACAATACACTACCATCCAGAGGATGGGTATGAGGTGCACAATGCACTACCATCCAGAGGATGGGTATGGGGTGCACAATGCACTACCATCCAGAGGATGGGTATGGGGTGCACAATGCACTACCATCCAGAGGATGGGTATGGGGTGCACAATGCATTACCATCTAGAGAATGGGTATGGGGTGCACAATGCTCTACCATCCAAAGGATGGGTATGGGGTGCACAATGCATTACCATCCAGAGGATGGGCATGGGGTGCACAATGCACTACCATCCAGAGGATGGGTGTCAGGTGCATAATGTACTACCATCCAAAGGATGGGCATTGGGTGCACAATGCACTACCATCCAGAGGATGGGTATTGGTTTCACAATGCACTTCCATCCGGTAGGGGGGTGCACAACGGCTCTATTTATTTGCTGATGATGTGACTTATGGTATTACTTACAGACCCAGTGACAGCACCGCCATTCTGTAAAAATACCCTGACTTCCTCTCTGTAAATAAAGCATTACCATTTGTGTACTCACCTATTTGTGATTGCAGGGGTCCAGTCTTAGCTCCTGGCCCCGCCTCTTCACTGGTTGCTACTGGGTCCTCTCTCTCCCTGCTCCATGAGCTTTATCAAACCTCGTCTTAAAACTATGTATGGTTCCCGCCTCCACTACGTCACTTTCTAGGCTATTCCACTTCCTGACAACTCTATGGCTGAAGAAATACTTCCTAACATCCCTTTGACTCATCTGAGTCTTCAACTTCCAATTGTGACCTCTTGTTTCTGTGTCCCCTCCCTGGAACATCCTGTCTTTGTCTACCTTGTCTATTCCGCGCAGTATTTTATGTCATTATCATGTCTTCCCCCTGACCCTCCTGTCCTCCAGTGTCGTCAGGCCGATTTCATTTAACCTTTCTTCATAGGACATTTCCCTTAGCTCTGGAACTAACCTTGTCACAAATCTTTGCACTTTCTCTAATTTCTTGACGTGCTTGATCAAGTGCGGGTTCCAAACAGGCGCTGCATATTCCAGTATGAGCCTGACGTACACGGTGTACAGTGTCTTGAGCGATTCCTTACTAAGGTATCGGAACGCTGTTCTCAGGTTTGCCAGGCACCCATATGCTGCAGCAGTTATCTGGTTGATGTGTGCTTCCGGAGACATGCTCGGTGTTATACTCACCCCAAGATCTTTCTCCTTGAGCGAGGTTTGCAGTCTTTTGCCACCTAGCCTATACTCCGTCTGCGGTCTTCTGTGCCCTTCCCCAATCTTCATGACTTTGCATTTGGTGGGGTTAAATTCAAGAAGCCAGTTGCTGGACCAGGTGTCCAGTCTGTCCAGGTCTCTTTGAAGTCCTGCCTGATCCTCATCTCATTTAATTCTCCTCATTAATTTCACATCATCTGCGAACAGGGACACTTCTGAGTCTAACCCTTCCATCATGTCGTTCACATATACCAAAAATAGCACTGGTCCTAGGACCGACCCCTGTGGGACCCCGCTCGTCACAGGTGCCCACTGTGATACCTCATCACGTACCATGACTCATTGTTGCCTCCCTGTCAGGTATTCTCTGATCCATTGCAGTGCCCTTCCTGTTATATGCGCCTGATCCTCTAGCTTCTGCACTAATCTGTTGTGAGGAACTGTGTCAAAGACCTTCTTGCAGTCCAAGAAGATGCAATCAACCCACCCCTCTCTCTCATGTCTTACTTTGTTACTTTATCATAAAACTCCAGAAAGTTTGTGACACAGGATTTGCCTTCCATGAATTCGTGCTGGTTGGCGTTTATATTCTTGTTCCGTTCCAGGTGCTCCACCACTCTCCTCCTGATAATCTCCATAACTTTGCATACTATACACGTCAGTGACACAGGTCTATAGTTTAGTGCCTCTTTTCTCTCTCCTTTTTTAAAAATGGGAACTACATTTGCCGTCTTCCATACCTCAGGTAGTTGTCCAGTTTCCAGGGATGTGTTGAAGATTGTGGTAAGTGGCACACACAGCATATCCGCTCCCTCTCTAAGGACCCACAGGGAGATGTCCGGTCCCATTGCCTTTGAGGTATTGATGTCCCTTAGCAGCTTCTTCACCTCCTCATTTGTATGTAAGTCATCCAACTCTTGTTGGTATATTCCTTGCTGGTGTCCCCCTCTAATCAAATCAAATCAAATCAAAGTTTATTCTCTATAAGGATTACAATGCGGGGTTTACAGATTTTGGTTATTGTGTGGTTTACATGTAGTAAAATACTAATTACAGAGGGGGCCACTAGAACACCTAGCGTGGCTAGGCATTTCGGGCAAACTTAGATTAATTCTTAACCCTAAATTATAACAAATTGTGGAGTAAGTTGACTAAATACTAAGTGACAAATACTAGTTTGTGAGTTTAGCAATATGAATGCTTTTGTTTTGTTCTGTTCTGTCCCCCCAAGGCCTTCCTGTCTCCACTGTAAATACTTCCTTAAATCTCATATTGAGTTCCTCACATACTTCTTGATCGTTTCTTGTGAGTTCCCCACCTTCTTTCCTCAGCCTTATCACCTGGTCTTTGACTGTTGTCTTCCTCCTAATGTGGCTATACTGCAGTATAAGGTACATACTCGTACATACTTGTTTCTGGCTCTTCTACTAATCTCCTTATTTTCCTGAGTCCTTTGCCTCCTGTACCTTTTCCATTCTCTGGTGCACTTAGTTTTTGCCTCCCTACACCTTTGGGTAAACCAAGGACTGGCTTTGGTCTTCTTATTATTTCTATTTCCCTTGGGAACAAACCTTTCCTCTGCCTCCTTGCACTTTGTTGTTACATATTCCATTATCTCGTTTACTGATTTTCCTACCAGTTCCCTGTCCCACTGAACCTCCTGCAGGAAGTTACTCATACCTGTGTAGTCCCCCCCCTTTTATAGTTTGGCTTTTCTCATTCAATTCCTGTTACATTCTCCACTTGTAGCTCTACTATATAATCAAAACTCAGAACCACGTGATCGCTAGCTCCAAGAGGCCTCTCGTAATTTATGTCCTCAATGTCTGAACTGCTCAGGGTGAACACAAGATCCAGTCTTGCTGGCTCATCCTCCCCTCTCTCTCTGGTAATGTCCCTGACATGTTGATGCATGAGGTTTTCAAGTACCACATCCATCATCTTGGCTCTCCATGTTTCGGGACCCCCATGTGGCTCCAGGTTTTCCCAGTCGATCTCCCTGTGGTTGAAATCGCCCATTACCAGTAACTTTGCTCTGCTCGAGTGAGCTCTTCTTGTGTGTGTGTGTGTGTACTCACCTAGTTGAGGCTGCAGGGGTCGAGTCCAAGCTCCTGGCCCTGCCTCTTCACTGGTCGCTACTTGGTCACTCTCCCTGAACCGTGAGCTTTATCATACCTCTGCTTAAAGCTATGTATGGATCCTGCCTCCACTACATCGCTTCCCAAACTATTCCACTTCCTGACTCCTCTGTGGCTGAAGAAATACTTCCTAACATCCCTGTGATTCATCTGTGTCTTCAACTTCCAACTGTGTCCCCTTGTTGCTGTGCCCCATCTCTGGAACATCCTGTCTTTGTCTGTGTGTGTGTGAACTAATTCATGCCGGCATAAACAACTCATTGCAATTGTGACCAGATATAAATATGTAAATAGTTCATTACTTTGCGACTTACTCTCTGGACCCATTATGTGCCTCTGTAATTTTTTACTACCCCCTTCCCCATGATGGGTATAAGGTACATAAATACAGTTATTAAGCTAAGTGTCAACACCACTATGGGACATCAGACAATTCTTATTCAACTATATATACTACCATAATTTTTAAAGGGGTGGGCTGTATGATGTAGACAGCCTGTACTGTCTGCATAGACAGCCTATGCTGTCTGCCAGCTTAGTTCATATTTTGCACCACTAAAGTGCTACCATCTGGGCCTGCCCAGGTCTGTGGGATGCTGGGCCCACACTCACTCACTGTCACAGCGACCAAGCAGCAATACAGAAGGCCTAATAGTTCTTCCTCTCGTGGGATGGCCCTCCTGGGCCATGGGCACAATACACAAGCCTGTGTACCCACCACGACTTTACAAATAAAGTAAGAAGCCTCCGAAGACATTTATAATTCACACCCCGCTTTCAGTACCAAATAATCTCATTAAACATTGGTAGCAGCGGTGGTTGCAGCAGTTGTGTTTGCCCGGAGAGAGGAAGGAAGGTATGAAGTCATCTTCACTTTATCACCCTATACAAGAAGCATCCGTCTCTCAACGAGTTATCCTGATGTCGTGTCTGCACGTTTCAGCATCCAGACACAGATACAAGCAGGATCCAGCCGAAATTTACCGAATTTCTTCGAGAACTGTAAGTGGCATCCCAGTGACCCCACGCTACAGCGTCGCACGCTGTTTCTCAAGTCACGTGTT